CTGATGTAGTGGCTATGAATGTTAACAGAGGGAACAATTATAATCAAGGAAATCAGAATAACAAAGGAAGAAGATGTGAACATTGTCAATATACTGGGCATACTAAGGAGAATTTTTACAGGTTAATTGGTTATCCAGCTGATTGGAAACACAGAAAAAGATTTGGTTTTAATAATGCAAGGTCAGTCCACATGCATTCTTCATCTGGAGGAAATAACCATAACCTTGTTGAAGAAGCTAACAATATATCCAAAGAGAACTCTGGAGAGGCCTCTTCTAGTCATCATGAAGTAAACAATGCGTTTATGGCTAGAGGACATGCATTCACTGATGGAGAATATAAGAAAATAATGGACATGTTAGGGAAAGATAAGAGGGAAGTAAAGCAGGCCAACATGATAGGTATGACAAATTGTTTTTCAACTAATGTTGCCTCTCATTGTTGGATAGTAGACTCTGGTGCTTCTCATCATATTACAACAAATGAACATTTGCTAAAAAATAGTAAATGTACATCTAGTTCTCACCAAGACAAAGTGAACTTACCTACAGGTGACAAGGCCTCTATAACACACATAGGAGATACACATTTGTTTAACAATGAAGTGATCAAATGTGCTGCGTGTACCTGAGTTCAAGTTCAACCTGTTGTCTGTATCACAGTTAACTAGGGAACTATCTTGTTTTGTTTCCTTTTACCCTGAATTCTGTATATTTCAGGATCTTTACAGTGGCAGGGTGAAAGGGATTGGTAGGGAAGAAGGGAGCCTGTACATATTCAGAACTGATTCTGGCATGAAGAGCAAATGTGAAACTCAAAGTCCTCAGAAAATTGTTGCAGAGGTATCACTACAAGATTGTGAATTGTGGCATAGAAGGCTTGGTCATCCTTCAAACCAAGTATTACATTGTTTAGACATATTACATAATAATAAAGACAGTGATTTACTTACCAGTTGCTCAGTATGTCCATTAGCTAAGCAAACTAGATTGTCATTCCCTATTAGTGTATCAAAAACCTCTAAATGCTTTGAACTTGTTCACATGTATCATTGGGGACCATATAAGGTTCCCACATTTGATAAGAAATATTATTTTCTTACAATTGTTGATGATTAGAGCAGATATACTTGGGTACATTTACTACAGCTTAAATCTGAAACTATAGTAGCTATAAAGACTTTCTTTACATTGATAAAGAATCAGTTTGGGTGTATAATCAAGACTGTAAGGTCAGATAATGGAACAGAGTTTTTTCAACTCTCAATGCAAATAATTGTTTACAAGTCTAGGCATTATACATCAGAGTAGGTGTCCTCACACACCACAGCAAAATGGTGTAGTGGAGAGGAAGCATAGACACATATTGAATGTAGTTAGAGCTATCAGATTTCAGTCTTGTATGCCACTTAGATTCTGGGGAATTTGTGTTCAAGCAGCTGTGTATTTGATTAACAGACTACCATCATCCAATCTTCATAATCAAAGTCCATATGAGAGGCTGTTTTCTAAGTCTCCAAATATCAGCCATTTGAGAGTTATAGGCTGTCTTGATTATGCTTCTGTTATTCCTAGAAATGATAAATTATCAGAAAGAGCAAATCCTGTGATCATGATGGGATATTCAAAAACTCAGAAGGGCTATTTGTTAATGGATATACAGACTAAGAAGTTTCTAGTGAATAGAGATGTGGTATTTCAAGAACACATCTTTCCTTTTGCCACTTCAAAACCTTCACAAGCACCTGTTAATGATCTATTACCTGATAGCCTTGAAGAAGCAAATGATTCAGAAGAGACAGCACCTGATGATTGTATACAAACAGACACACAGATCTCTACTAGTTTGAATGATGCTATTTCTACTAGTTTGAGTGATGTTCCGGATGAGATATTGCATACTCAACATGAAGAGATGTCAATCCAAGACTCAAATATTGATTCAGTGTCTTCTAGAAAGTCATCTAGACTTACCAAACCTCCCATTTAGATGAAAGATTATATGACTACTGCTGTTGGACAGAATAGCAAGTATCCCCTGGCAAATCATCTTAGTTATGATCATATGTCATCAAAATATCATAGCTACCTAGCCAACTTTTTAGATTCAGTAGAACCTCAAACATTTGGCCAAGCCAGTAAAGATCCAAAATGGATTAAGTCCATGAACTTAGAAGTTAAAGCTCTTGAAGATAACAAGACATGGTTGGTAGTTGATTTACCTTTAGGTAAACATACTGTTGGTTCTAAATGTATCTACAAAATCAAATACAAAGCTGATGGAGACATAGAAAGATTTAAAGCTAGACTTGTAGCTAAGGGTTATAGTCAACAAGAAGGATTGGATTATCATGATACATTCTCACCAGTTGCCAAAATGGTGACTGTTAGAAGTGTGATTGCAGTGGCAGTTTCAAAAGTATGGTTTCTTTACCAAATGGATGTAGACAATGCCTTTTTACAAGGAGATTTGGATGAGTAAGTATATATGGAGATGCCTGAAGGTTTCAAATCTCAAGGGTCAACCAAAGTTTGTAAATTGCTTAAATCCTTGTATGGACTTAAGCAAGCATCCAGACAGTGGAATATCAAATTGACCAACACTTTGTTATCTGCAGGCTTCATTCAAAGTTCTTATGATTATTCATTGTTCACTTTGAAGAAGCCAGAGGGGATGGTTATTGCACTGATCTATGTTGATGATTTACTCATTACTGGTGACAATGATTTATTAATCAGAGAAGCAAAAGAAGTATTGCATCAGAAGTTTAAACTCTAAGATTTAGGAGAACTCAAATATTTCTTAGGAATTGAGGTGCTAAGGTCCAGAATAGGTGTTATTTTGAATCAAAGGAAATACATATTGGAGCTTATATCGGATACAGGATTGAGTGGTGCAAAACCTGTGAATACACCATTAGAAACTAACTTGAGGTTGACATCAGTAGAATTTAATCAAACTGCTGGACTACAAGGAGATGATGTGCTAATAGATAATTCAGTCTATCAAAGATTAGTGGGAAAATTAATGTATGCTACCATTACAAGACCTGACATTAGTTATGCTGTGCAAACACTAAGTCAGTTTATGCAACATCCAAAAAGGTCCCATTGGGAAGCAACTATCAGAGTGGTGAGATACTTAAAAGGAACAGTTGGTCAGGGCATATGGCTGAAGGCTCAGCCAGCTACAACATTAACATGTTGGTGTGATTCAGACTGGGCTGCATGTCCTAATACTAGGAGGTCAGTAATAGGCTACATAGTAAAATTTGGAGATTCTTTAGTGTCTTGGAAGTCCAAGAAACAACAGACAGTGTCTAGAAGTTCAGCTGAAGCTGAATACAGAAGCATGGCTTCAGCAGTAGCAGAAGTGACATGGTTGATAGGGTTGTTCAATGAGCTCAATGTGTCAATACAAATTCCAATCACAGTGTGGAGTGATAGCAAATCTGCTATTCAGTTAGCTGCAAATCCTGTGTTCCATGAAAGAACCAAGCACATCGAAATAGATTGCCATTTTATTACAGACAAAGTTAAGACTGGATTGATTCAAACAGAGTATGTACACACACATCAACAAATTGCTGATCTATTAACCAAAGGATTGAGTCAGGTTCAACATCTTCATCTGTTAGACAAGCTAGGTGTGCTTAACGTATTGCACCCTTCAGCTTGAGGGGGAGTGTTTACTTTCCCATTGTTAGTTAATACAGTTAGGCTGTTAGTTTTCCTATTTTCTGTTAATACAGTTGGTTAGTTAGCTTTGTATGCACATGGTTAGTTAGCTGCAGATTCAGTTAGTTAGTGTGTGTGTATGTTGTAAGCGTGAGTGGAATGATTAGAGTTGGTTGAGGATTAACATTGCTGCACTATATTTGTATATATATACAAATCACATGTAATATCCATGAATAAGAATAACAACTTCTTCCTTCTTCTTCCTCTTCTTCTTCTTCAAACTCAGCTTATTCCTAGAAGCTTCAATGGAGTAATTTCGAACTCCTTGCTAGAATTTATCAGAATTATACATGTATTTTATGTTATACACTTAATACTTATTTAAATCCAATGAATCAAATATTTGTTAAAAAAATATCTTTTACGTAAATGTTTTTGCTATTACTCAATAATCTCTCAATATTATAATTTATTGAGTTTGAAGCGTTTGATTTTATATGTTATGTTGTTAATTTCATTAACTAAAATACGAATAAGATTATGTATAAAAAAAAAAACTTAAAAAGTATTTAATTGAAATATTAAAAAAAGAAATACTTAATTAAAAATGACTAGTTCAAATGTGTACTTTGATTAATTTAAGAAAAAGAATTATATATATATATATAGAGAGACTAGATTGAAAAGAAAGTCTATTCCGACAATTATCTTCATCATTGTTTATTTTAATAACATATTTTTTTGTGTTTAGTAACAGTTTAATTTTTTGAATTTTATTTTTATTTTTTATTAATGATAATATATATAAATAAAAGTAAACTAGATTACAAAATGACTAACATATTATAAATACTTTTAAAATATTTTTATTCTATTATTATACTAGTGGTGGTATGTTTGTGCTGAGCTCGGACTCAATCTAAACTATATATTAACTTTATTTTCATTCATTTTTATCTATCGTTTGATGATTTTTTAAAAATTAAAATTAGGTTTGTTATTTTTATATTTTCATCTAAGATAGGTTCTGAGATCAATTAATGAATAGATATATTAAAAATGTGAAAAATGATAAAGTTATTGTAAATATTTTATTTGTGGATGTTATCACTTAATGAATAGATATATTAAAAATGTGAAAAATGATAAAGTTGTCGTAAATATTTTATTTTGTGGATGTCAAGTGATAACATCACCTTATTACTATAGCAATATGTATTTGTGGATGTTATGTGGTAACATCACCTTGCTACTATAGCAATATGACTACTCCAAGTCATATTGCCTATAAAAGGGCATTGAAATGATAATGAAAAGATACACCCAAAATATTTACTACTCTTTATTTCTACTTTTTATTTTCCTTTACTCTCTTCGTAAGATTTTAGTATTATGTCTTTATTTTATAATAAAAGTTGATTTTTAAAATATGGTATATTTTTTCTAGTATAGTTTCTAGAATAGTTATGTAACAATTCTTTTGGTCGTTTTGAATATTAGAATTTTTTATTTCATAAATATTTTTTCGATAGATTTTAAATGATTGTTTTGGACTATTCATAATTATAATTATGAAATTAGTGGGATAGTTTTAATAATTGAGTTAGTTGGGGGTTAAAGGAGATAACTTTAAAATTAATAGTGGATCGCTTTTATAATAGTATACAATTAGGGTGACAACTAATCTGTAGAAAAGAAGAAATATAGACGCATAAAAACCAAGTGAGAGGAAGGTTTACCTGTGCGGCTACACCAAAGATCAATTTGGAGTTCTTTTAGTGGTAATCTTCTTTGTTAATAGTTAACATGTATAATCGTGGATTAATTATTGTTAGTGGGTCTTTATGAATCGAATAATGCAGAGTTGAGGAACGTGCTGATCGGGCAGTTGACAATTTGTTATATGAAAATGGTACGTATCAATTTGTTGTGGGTTTGTTCGGGTCAAGGCAGTAACATAATTGGGGGATAATTCTGGCATCTTGATGGGCCAGGTGCCAGGTAAAGGTGATAGAAAAGTTGGGTTTCTGTATGTTGGACCTTGGCTTGCATATATTGCAGTGAAGTACTTTTAAATCTTCACAATATACATTATAATCATAATTTCTTCCCTTTGTTATGTTGTTGGGTCATCTTAGTAAATTCTTCTTTAATTTTTATGTTCATAACCTTATATATTAATTAGAGGAGCTTATTAAATATTTATATTAGGTGAAATATTCTAAAAATGTCTCCTGGGTTTCTGTATTCCTGTTAGTTTCTTTGGTTAAACAATTGTGGTCTCATGTGTTAGCTGCCACAGGTATCGTGACTAGTGATTTCAGGTTTACCATTGTTTAAACTAAAACTCAATTTATTGAGATAGGTAATTCAATATAAGGTATAGTATATTATATAAGTTACATTAAAGTGATGTTAATGGGAGGAATTAAGATCTACCCTTAGGTTTGAATTTTGAGAAATTGATTATATAATTAGGTGAGTTTTTGGGTCTAGGCTAAACATAGACTAACCTAAGTGTTTATAGACTCGTTAACTTACAAATTGTGTAGATTGGAAAGATTCGGAGGCAATAAGGAAAGGAAAGACATTGGAGAAGTAGTTACTTGACTTCAATTCTTCGGTGGAGGTAGGTTATGGTTTATTTCTATTTGATAGATAAACTCTCAATAGCGATTGATATGTATTAAGTGATATTGTAAAGTCTCCTATGTACTTTATGGTGTGGTTGTATGTCTTGATTGTATGGTTTCTGGTTGGCTAAAATTACGAGACTGCTGAATTTCTAATCTTGAACCATTTCTATTAAAATGACGCCTTGAATAAAGAAGATTTGATGAAATAAAATAATGAGATAATTGGATCGCAGTGTCACGTTCCGACATGATATTATTGGATCGGAGTGTCACGTTCCGAAACAATAACATTAAAGGAAATAAATCTTGAACTAACTTAATATATCTAATCTCAAAGAACCTATTTTCCAAATGAGTATGGTGTGGAGCCATGAGTCCTCATAGGTGTGCTTGATGGTGTACATGTTATGTTGTTGTTGTTAATGGTTCATGTGTTTTGTTGCTTGCCACCTGTTAAGTATTGTAGTTGATTTTATATTATTATTCAATATATATTGATTATTATTTTGAGTTGACCGATGATACCTACTCAGTACGTGTTCCTTGTACTGACCCCTACTTGTATTTTCTTCTCTGTTTTTTTGTGGAGTGCAACAAGTGTACCATTGACTACGACTCGCCCTCATCTCTAACCAGTCTCCAGCACATCAGAGTTCAGGGTGAGCTATTAATTCTATCTCGTACTGGATTGTCCCATTCACGTCTTGATATCTTTGAATTTCGGACATAGATCATCTTTTTGCTTATTTTGGTTTTCTTAACACTCTTAGGCGTGATGACTATTAGATTTTGGGATGATAAGTATTAAACTTTAGAAACTTTTAAATTGGTTGCTTAATAAGTTTTGGAACATCCGCATTATTTATATTATTTATAGTTGAACTATTGGTATATGTTGGGGTTTAGATGTGTTGGTTCGTCCATCTAAGGAGGTAAGTGTGGGTGCCACTCACGAATCATTTTGGGTCGTGACAGTATAGTGTAGTATCTATAATATGGAAAAGGTCTAAAAACACCGTTAAATTATTTGAAATAACTCAAGTATATCCTTAAACTATATTTTGACTCAAAACCACCATTTGGTCATACAATTGGGTTACAAATACCTTCTTACTAACTGAAGTTGTTAAATGTCATGTGGCACACGTAAGCACCATGTATAAATTACAAGAAAAAGGTGGCACACTCCGTGACTCCACACAATTGAGGGGCGAGGGAGATATTTGGATGTCACGTAAGCTAAAAAGTTGTACAAAATTACAAAAAAAAAAGATTAGGAGGTAGTAGGACATTAAGTTTAGTTAATGTGTATTTCGACAATTTCAATCATAGCATAGGAGGGTACTTATATATTTTCCCTATTAAAATTTAGAAAGTGTGTATGAATTCTAATTAGCTTGTATAAATTTTAATATATATGGATATAATTTGTATTAAACTTTGGTAGGGGTTTAGTTATGTGCATATTAATTATAAAAGTATTATTTCGTTAGGTTAAAATTACAATACATGAATTATTAATTATTAAATATTTAATTTGTTATTAAATCAATATATATATTATTTACAAATAAATAAGTAAGAAAATAGTATAAATTATACATGTTTTGAATAAAAAATAAAGAAAAAGATCCCTCTATACTTAATTGGGACTTTCTTTTTTCATTTTGCTAATTATTTATATGTTTATATCTTATAAAAAACAAAATAAATTTAATATATTTCAAGTGGATTATAATACTATATTTTCTATAGGTAAATATTTTATCAATATGTTAAATATATTGTTTTCACATTTTTAATATACCAAATATATGAATTATGTATAAATTCATAACCTAAACAAAATAATAACACATGTTAATTAAATATGTCGAATATATTTAATAATATATAACACGAATATATGATTAGTATGTTCCATCAAAATATATACAACCACTTATTGATAAGATGACTGCAAGAATCTCATTTTTGATTGTAAAACAGCGATCTATCTTACGCTGAAAGGATGCAAGTGATACAAACACTCTTATTTGGTATACATTAATGTCATTTTTTCATCTTTTTTCTTTCTTTTTAAATTCTTTTTTTTTATCAAATTTAAAATTATTATTTAAATTATGGACATGAGATAGGTGCATTAATGATAAGATTTTATTTCAATTTAATTAACCTAAAATATAAATTGTCCATTAGAATCTTTTCGATGAGGAAACTTTGAGAATTTTTTTAGATATTTTTATCATTATTAAGTTGTTTGAATGGATTTTGTTAAGTGAAAAAGTTTGTTGAAATAGCTTCAAAATGGTATTTGAATTGAGTTTTAATGACTTATAGTTGATTTTACAAATGGGTGTAAAGTAATTTACTTAATAGTTTTTTATTGTGGAGAGTGAGAAGAAAATTTCAATCTATGATTTGTGGTGGTATTGATAGATATTGTAATGGTGTTGATTTCAAATCGTGATGGTGAAATTTGATACCTGACATGAATGCTCTATTAAGTTTCTAAGAAGCAGAAAAAAATTAGAGATGAAATATTTGTCTCGAATGAAATCTATCCAAGCTTATCGTGCTATTTTCATGGCAGATCTATGATGATGGGAGTTATATAGCTGAAAATTTAATAGGAGTTTCAAGTTTGATGTGATTGAGATTGACTTCAACTCTATACCTTGATTTTTCGGTATCAATGCGGCGTTGCTCAGGCGTTAAACCGTTGCTTGAAGCTCCGAGGAAGAAAGGATTATAGTTTGCAAAATTGTTCTATAACTTTTTTTTTCTTTTGATTTTGTTAGTTTTAATTTTTCATTTGATTTGAGTGTTTTAGTTTGACTTTTTTTTTTTGAAAAAATCAAAACAAATAAAGAAAAAAAATGAAAAGAATATTAAAAATATTTTTTTTAATGTTAATCATTGGTCTTCACTCTCTCAAAGCGAGTGAAATACACTCACTTTGCCACACAATCATTTAAGGAGGTAATAATTTTAATTTTAGTTTTAAATAGTTAGGGAGGTAATAGGATCCCCGTAGAGTATAAGTGTGTAGCTGAAAATTCGGTAATAGGTTGGGAGGTCATTTGACCATTTTCTCTATAAAGTTTAATCTACTCTCTAGACCTCTCCAGTAGAAGCTGTTGATCCTCTTGTTGGTACATGGAGTGATATAATCGACATTTCAATTTGGTTGTAGTTTTGTAATACATCCTTTGGCGATCAAATAAAGTCCAAATAATTACCAAATATATATAAATCCAATTAGTAATATTAATAAATATTAAATATAACCTATTACCTGAACGAAACTAGATCTTGTGAAATCATTTTGAATATTTGACAATACATTTTGTACCTTGATAAAAAATCGATCCTTGTTTATCAACCACACATTGTATAACCAAACCTAATTCTCTCTCGATACGTTCCTAAAAAATCCGATTTGGGCGGATTCTTCCCCCAACTAACGAAGAGATCTTGGCGTAATTGTCACATATGAGATTGAGCACAGTTTTACAAAGAAGTATCCCACTTTTTTCTCGAAAAGAGATGAAAAAACATGTTTTATATCATTTGATTGAATAGTTGACCCAACCCTTTGTTGTTTGAAGAAACCCTTCGCTTTAATTGATATTTTCACGAAAAGCAGACATGAGATAAGAAATCCAGTATTTCACTAAGATTTTGAATGAAAAAAAAGGTTGTTTGTTATGAAAAAAGGGGAAACTAGCTAAATACCCCATAAAATCAAAATAATTAGAAAAATATACCCTTTTATATTCATATCTCGCGAAATTATTACATTATATACACCCCCTAACTAGTTGTGCTTAACTGATACTAAATCACTATCATATATTATATTGATATTATTAAGGCCGATAATTTCATTTAGTTGATACTAAATCAATCTATGTATATCGTTGTGGTATCATTAATGTTTCTTTTCTAGAAATTACTCATTAGTCAATGATACCATAAGAGTGTATATATATATATATATATACACACACACACACACACTATTAAGGATGATATATTCTAAGTAATGTTTAATGTGTCTAGAATGTCAATGATTAGATCGGGTTCACAAGGACTGATGCGCGTAGAACCAGACCTCGGAACCCTTGCTACATCCATGCCAACTAACTTGGGGATTTATTTGAGCTAGAAAATGTTGGGTCGAACCATGTAGGGCTCTCAAATATGAAGATTTACTCGAAGGAGTCTTTACCAGACTTAAAAAGAGGAAATGTTAAGTTTGGAGGCTCTAGAGGTAAAATGATATTTTTCCAGGCTAATGGTAGTATCGTACTTACCCTAAATATATAATTAATTATTTAATTAATAAGGTGGAGAGACATTTTGGTAAGAGAGGACCGAAATTGGGCTCTTGAAGTGAAGTCTTGCTCCACCTGGGTTCGAACCTAGGTGAAAGCAATGAATTGAATTGTTTTTAATTTAAGTTGGTAAATTAATGTAATTAATTTATATTTATTAGTTATTAGATAATTTAAAATAAAAGGAAATCAGATTTTTATTAATTTAATAAAACCTTATTTGACTAAGTCCTAAACTAGACTCCTAAGCCTAAGAAAACTCTTCTCTCCCACGCTCATCTCTCTCTCACGTCTCTATCACTCTCATTCACATTTTCTCTGCCAAAATAACCCCAAAAATAGTAGGTAAACCAAAGTTCTTCACACTTGAATAACTCACACAAAAATATAAGAAAAACAAACGTCAATCACGTAGGCAAATAGAATATTTCCGTTGAGTTTGGTGTTGAAATTTTGGTGTTGGACGTGTGTTTGGAGGAGTTCTTTGGGCAGCAAGTCGAGGTTTGAACGTCAAAAAGGTATGGGTTCTCTTCTCTCTTGGCCCCTTTCCCAAGAGACCCCCTAAAGTTCAGACGAATCTATTCCAAAAACTAGGATTGGTCCTAAACGTGTGTATGTGTGTGTTGCTGTGACTATTATTCATGGTTTAGGACATGAAATGACATGATAATTCTTTATATTTCATGTACACATGTTGATGTAAATGTGATGTTCATATGAGTTGAAATGTGGCTGATTTGAGGGATAATCTCTCTAAACGAATCCATGAAAACGCAAATAAACATTCTAAATGCACTATGAAATTCCCCTAAGAACTAAGGTGTAACTTGATGAAAGGATGCTGAAAAATAAAAAGAAAATTTAAAGCTTCTAGTGATGAATTTCGGTCAGCAAAGAGGGTTCAAAATATTTTTAAAAAATGAATTAAAACAAGTGAGGTCATGGAGAATTGAACCCGTCACCTCACCATGTTAAAAACCATGAAAATAAAGAAGTAAAAAGAAATGTGGTGAAGGGGATTCGAACCATGGTATTGGCTGGAAAATGTAACTTAAAAGAAAAAAAATAAGAAATGAGAGGAGTGATTCGAACCACCACCTCTCAATCAGATTTAAGGAGGAAAATAAAAGAAAAATAAAGAGGGAGGCATGTGATAATCGAACCCACGACCTCTTAGGCAGATTAAGGAGGAGAATAAAAGAAAACTGAAGGGGTAGGTGTGTGGCAATCGAACCCACGACCTCTTAAACAGATTAAGGAGGTGAATAAAAGAAAAATAAAGGGGGAAGTGTGTGGGAATCGAACCCACAACCTCTTAGGCTGATTTAAGGAGGAGAATAAAAGAAAAATAAAGGAGGAGGCCTGTGGGAATCAAACCCACGGCCTCTTAGGCAGCTTAAAGGAGGAGAATAAAAGAAAAATAAAGGGTGGTTGTAGGGGTTTGATCCCACAACCTCATAGTCAACTCGAAATAGACAAGGAGAAATAGATAAAAAAAAACAATAAAAGGGGTTGTGGGGGTTTGATCCCACAACCCCTCGGCCATGTAAGAGGTAATTCAAAGGAGAAAAATTAAGAGGAAACGTTGATGTTGGGGCTCGATCTAGGGTCCCAATGTCATGTGGACCAAAATACAATAAATGAAAAAAATGTAAGTGTTGTCTAAGGGATTCGAAATTGGGTTCCCTTGCCCAAATTCCGTATTGATACATAAGTCATACGTGAATAAAATATTCAAGAATAATGCTGCCTACTTAGATCGAAATTGAGATCTTGGCATACATACAAGATGCATAAGTCTTGTACCACATAATATTAGGAAGATATAAATCACTTAAATGAACCATGAATGAAGCCTCATGGCTTGTATGTATAGTCTCACAAGTCTAGCATACGTTTAAAAATAAGTGAACCTAAGTGTATGTAATGAAATAATAAACTAGAAGGGTTAAGTAAGAGTGCAAAACACACTAAATGGCCAAGTGCATTGGCACATGATGAAATGAATAATGAAATGATGAAATGAACAATGAAATGATGAAATGAACCATGAAATGATGAAACCCTAGAAGGTTTAAGTAAGAGTGTGAAACACACTAAATGGCCAAGTGCATTGACATATGATGAAATGAACATTCACGTAAAAAGGGGTGAGTAATTATGAAGAGCAAATGTGTTAATGTTGATGAATGAGGTGACAACATGATATGAGGCTAATGTAAAAGATGAGAGCAATCTTAAATGATCCTAAGTAAATGTTACCAAAACGTACTCACCTATGAGAGTGTAAAGTTAATGAAAAGATCAGTCTTTATGAACACTCTAATGAAAGTATTGAGATTAGCACACTTAATACTAATGATGAGATGAGAAATCATCTATTGAGCTATGATGTCCTCATACTAGAAGCCAGCTTCCATGACGTATGAGTTGAATGTAATGGAACTTTATGCTGTGCACCGATAGACTAGCTATGAGCGGTGATACCTTCTTTCGAAAAGAGCGGAGGTTTATGTAACTCTTATGAGATGATACTGTTCGGCATGCCGGGTATGGGTCTCCTTATATCTCATAGTCTTCGAACCTATACTGCCAATATAGGGATCTGGCGGGGTTCAATTCCCATGTACGCTAGCATGTTTTGGGTCACTTTGGTCGGTGATTCCACCTCTTTTCGATGTGGGGTTTCATGACACTCAATTCCATGATGCTCACATGATCTATGTAGGTTAAAGTTAAAGTTCCCAATGAATGAATGAAGTCAGCCTCAAATGATGCACATAATGAAACGAATGATACCAAAGGTGTTAGGATAGGATAATCAAGAGGTGAGTTAGATTCAAGTAATGACATTAGGTCATTCTTGGTCATTGCATAACGAACCCAATGAAAGTCCTAAACTACATCCTAGGTATAGCTGGTGTTTACACTGACCCATGAATGAAATGAAATAAAGTACGTATGAATGAACGAAACAAACTCTGTGTTTGCTAAAGCAGACTCCCTAGTTGAGGTCCCATATGTTGAGCCCTCATTTTTGGGAGGTCTTAGTGTCAATTCCATGATTACAAGGTCTCATGGCATACGAATGAATGATATGAACAACGTTATGTGTTATAGGAATTATGATAAGTGCTATGTGTACACTGTTGTGTGTTGTGTGCAAAATGTTAAGTATGATGATGCATGTTACTCTCATGGCATAACTTTCCTAATCAAGTTTGGAAAGCTCATAAACTTTTCTAATCCAAATTTGGAAAGTTCACTCACTTTCCTAATCTCAATTTGGCAAGTGAACTGACTTGACCTGCTATAATCATGTTGCTAGGAAAGAGTTATTATTACTCATGCATGTCCTTGGTTTGTGCTTGCATATACCCATACTTAGTACAAGTGTGTACTAACCCTATGCAACTCTAAACTTTTAGGTGTAGGTACAGGTGGACGCTAGAGCTACAGGATCAACACTGTAGTTATCCAGACGTCGAGCATTTACCCGGACTTGGTAGGCCCTCATGCTTTCGAGGATGCTTGCTTATTTACATTCTATCTTAGTTGTAGCATTGAACTAGTGGAGTATGTTCCACTAGCGTTTCTTTCCCGTTTGTGTTCAGACATTGTATTGGTGCCATTTTGGCAAGTACATATTTATCGTTATAATAAATTGTTTCTTTCATTTGATGATCTAAATGTTAGATGGTTGATGGTGAACAATTATGTATGTAGTAGAATGTTTAGTAAGCATGTTAAGAAATAAAAAGTTTCAAATTTTCCGCTAAAATTAACCTAGACGAAGTAAGAATGACGTAAGTAGGCTTGTCTGCGACCTCTGAGAGGTCAACGACGCCGGTCTCGTCTAGGGTC